TTTTATTTCGTTTTAATTGTATGCTAGACAGAAACAATTTCCATAAAATTCAATGAATTAGAAACGCATGCACCAATATATGGAATATTATGAAATGCACTAAAAAAACAAAATTGATGAAAATCATATTATAAAAAGGTTAGATACCCTATTATTAGTTTTTTTTTAAATCAGCGATGAAAATTAAATCTGATTTACAAAATAATTACAAAAGAAAATTTCTGGCGATCCCAATTCTACGTCTTTATGACAATACAATAATAATAATTAATTAATACAAATGTCTCTAAGCGCTTTACAAATATACTATGTTATGATCAAGCTGAGGCACATAGCTTTGTCACACAGAAAGTATGACAACAACATAAATGGAAACGATATTCTACAAGACTCTCCGAATTTTATTTTATCTTAACGGTATGGTGATCAAAAGTGAGCAAATTCTATAAAACGCATAAAAACGTTCATATCAATCTTACATCTTGTATATCAAAATTTAATTAAAACAATGTATTCAAACTGTTAAGCTCTGTTAAACTAAAATTCAATTACATTAAATTTCAGGTTATGATAGTTGCGTGCAGAGTCTCTAATTTGCAACGTGTCTTAAAGGGAATGTAGCATGGCGAGACTACGTGTCTTTCCCGTTGCCTGACTCGGGGCCAATCGGGTATGACTAACGACTACGGACGGCGCGACCAGTGTATTCACGTGCGTTATCTCTTTGGTGCAACATACGCCATACGCGAAACCGAAGCGTAAGGTCCTTTCTTTAAGTGAACCTTCAAACCGATTGTGATGTCAAACTTTGTTTTAAATAACTACAATTAAGCTTCATCTCAGTCGCGATTGTTGTCCAAGAGAAGAAATGTGTCTCTCTATAAAAGAAAGGCAGCGAAAGATCAGATTGAGCAGCGATACACACTCTCGTAATGCCGTCAATACAGTATGAGATCCCACGTGCATCTCCTCTCCTATTACACACCAGGGTTTCTCACAACATATTGACAGCGAAAACTATTAAAATCACACTTTCGTACTATAACTGTCAGCAGGCGCGTACGCAGGGGGGGGTTGGGGGGTTAACCCCCCCCCCCTTTGGTAATTTTATGTATGTAAACCCCCCTAAAAAACCTAAACCCCCCCCCCCCTTTCATATGGCTCCGTTTAGTCTCATTTCACAACGCCCCCTATCGTCAGAGCATGGTCAGATTCAGCAGCCTAACATGTTAGCCTATGGACGTTTTTTAAAAAAATCGTTAAAAATTCATTTTTTGTTTAAACGAAAAGAACATCCACCCCGACGTACGTTATCACTAGCTCTTTCATTGGAGCCCTCATGTCTCCTTGACTTTGGAAAGTTCACCCACCGTAATTTTTCAAAATAGGTTGCAAGCTCGTCATTGCCTATAATACACGTGTGAAACAAGTCTAACATTGGACTCAGTTTACCAAGCGATTTGAAGATTATAGGTCGAGCACACGAAACATAAAAAGCATGAATTATCATAGATCACTTCTGCCTATTTCGTTTTGTCCATTTCATCCAACCCCCCACCGTAATTTTTCCATTTAGTAAAAGCAAACATTTTGCCGAGTTTAGCAAAAACATGAATATTCATGAACGGTCAGACAATACAGCCTTTTAGTACGTAACGTATAGTGAATGGGAATGTGCGATGGTCCGTGTAGGAGGTAGAGGTCAGTGGTTTGTGCTGGCAATATTCACGCGAGCGAAAATGAGACAATCGGAGCAATATGTGATTTTTTTAATTTTTTTTATAAAAAAATTAAAAAAAAATTAAAAAAAATTATGCCCACGGCCGACCTTAAAAAGGTGACCTTACCCCCCCCCCCCCCCCCCAACTGAGCAAAATGTCAAATTTCCAAATTTCGAGACCAAAAAAAAAAAAAAAGTGTCCTCTTACACCCCCCCCCCCCCCCCCCCCCCCCCCCCCCCCCCCCCGTTTATTCAGCGGCTGGCTGAGTCGTTGCGAAATTTTCGGACCGATTTATAAATGTTAAACCCCCCCCCCCCCCCCCCCCCTCCCTTGAAAAAATCCTGCGTACGCGCCTGACTGTCAGCGTCATAAAAATTGTCGGCTTTAAGGTTTATTTTCTTCGACAACCTTCGCGGATGATACTTCAACTCATATGTTAGGGTGAAAATAAGAGATCCTACTTGCGAAATGATACGTGTTGATAAACATAAACCGTTTCTATATGATCACTTGATTACCAAATCCCACCCTCCTCCGATCCTCCTCCAATAAAGAATATTAAATAAAGGTATACAATTATATTTACAAATTGAAGAAAAATATATAAGTGAATGATTGAATAAATAAATGAGAAATAAAATGAAGTACAATTCTTTTTTTTATGTATTTTGTTTAAAATATATAAAATATGTATTTATATGGCTACATTTCTCTACTGACACGAAATTCTCTTTTTTTCGTCTAGTAAAGTTCAACACAATTATCATTCGACTTACATATTACATTATATGTTGTTTATCAGGAGGGTATACTATCAACGAACAGATAAAAGAAAGGCTATGTTTTCTTTTTTATTTAGAGTGATGCTTTTCTTCGTGTTTACTTCAGCCGTTACATTTCATTTTGAACAATCACTTATACAGTTATTGTATACATCACTGATTTCAAGATGACACTTATACTCTACACGCTCACGTACTTTTATTGGCAATGTTCTGAACACAAATTGCTCGTTGTTCTCTATTTTCATCTTTTTAATTCATCCAATCATTCTCGCGAGGTACGCGGCTATGAAGAAAAAAGGGAGGGCACGGGTTTCTAATGCAGCCTTATAACATTTCAATTGTTCTTCTTTCCTTTCATTCCTTCGTTGCAGGTCTCCGCTCATATTTGTCAACCTTTTATTGAATTATCAAATGATTTAATCAATTAATGAAAATAATTGTGAAGCCTAAACACGCATCGAAGTATTCGCATAATTGCAAAATATTAATATCATTAATATTTTAACAATGTTCCTTCAGTTCTACCTTATGTTTTATTATTTTCCCTTCCATATTAAATCTCCCATCTCCCTCCTCTACCCCCCCCCCCCCCTTTCTCTCTTTCTCTCTCAATCTATTTCTCTCTCCCTCTCTTCATCTTTCCATCTACTTAACTCTCTTTACACTCAACAGCCGCTCGATAGCACACACAGTATAAGAAATATTCATATAGTTAAACATTCCTGAGGCTGATATCCTCCTAAACTTTCAAATTTTAAGAAAGATAAAGGGATGCGATGGAAAATTAATAACTACACTTCCATCAATTCTTAACAGAATCAGTTATTTATCTTTAATCCGGAGTTTCATCACGTATTGGCGTGCCCAGAACCTTGGTTACAGAAGGGAATGTGCCGGCCCACTGAAAGTTTAAAAAAAAAGTAAAACTTATAAATTTCTGGGAAAGGTTTAACAAAAATGGTGAGCTTTTTCTTTCTCTTCATGTTAGTGTGGAAGTCAAGAAAAATGTCTCCTAAATAGGTCTGCTTTTCAATGCCGTCATTGTTGAATTATGACAAGGAAGAGTGTATTTGGATCAAACTTTCACGCCACATGTTTGTGTAGTCCCGTGTACATTTTCCGGGTACAATGCGTACGAATTTCAGTACCCCCGATCTCAATTCGTATCATTTAAATGATTCCAAAACCTCAGTCACAGTTCGCCCCAATTCTTATGTGCTACATAATCACCATCTTCCAATCGCTTCCAGTTTCTTTCACGATGCGATTACATTGCCAGAACTCAAAGTTATCTTTAGACTGGCAGGTTGCTACCTTTTTTTCTCCCGTGTATAAAATTATGTCAATTTCTTTCTTTTCTCCTAATTGAAAGGTTTATATAAATCCCTGTCGGCAAATCTGAAATTAAAATTACGACCTGCTTTTACCCTTGATTGAAAAATTTAAATTTCGAGAATCTGCATATCGCCTGACTAATGGAGGAATGTGAAGAAAAAAAACATTCCGCCTATTAAAAACCTCATAGCAAGTAATGTCTAACATGCTCCCGTTCAAAATGTTCCAATCACATCATCCTGCTCTCAGAATCTACATAAGTTTTACAGTTTATTGAACGCCTTTAAATTGTGCACCTGTGCATTTCAGCAATGAAATCTTAATGTAAGCAATACTCCACAAATATTTCATTTTTATGATAACAACAGAGGAATATTTTGTGCAAGATTACCACACATGTTACCATGTTGTGCGAATATTATATGACACTGTTGAATCTACGCTGCATATCTGAGATACTCACTGCAATCATTTAAAACATGACTTACGCATATTTGCTACGCTTTTTTCTTTTACAATACTTATTTTTCCAGGAACCTACAATATACAAGCACTGCTCTTTAATAGGTTCTTTACATTTCACGAGAATCATTGAGACGTGCCCATTTATACTACATGACTTGTATATATTTTTTAATTTTATATGTTTGTCTATATTTTTTTGTAAAATGTGGAACAATAAAAAACTTACAGAAAAAAACTTGAAACGTCTTCATTGTGGGCATTGCATTCATTTTTTTTGTATATGATAGACAGTATTTAACCCATCATAATGTAACTCTTTGTTCACATGAGCAGAGAGCACTAATTACAACAAAAAGGTTTACAATGTGGCCGCCAACGGTATGTAGCTGACAATGTGTCCGAGGTTCTTATTACCATGATATAAAACATGTCTCCATTTAAAGCACATCTATATACATCTTTATTTTGTTATTATTGTTACAGCCTTCCATTTTCACATAAAAGAATATTCCTATACCTCTTAGTTTACATGGATAAAGACATCCTACAGCAGAATTACCGATTACAATGTGGCTGTCAGTAGCCCATTTTAAGTTTCCAATGATGGAGCCAGATCATGACACCAATGCATATCTTTAAAAAATGATTAGCACACTTTAACTGTAACCGCAGTCCAAGGTTACCTAATGAACAACTAGCTGGTGACAATCGACGACATAGTAACATTTCCATTCTGAACATCCTCACTTTTAAATCCGAAAGTCTTTTTCACAGCGGCACGGAACTTGTTGCTAAGAAGAGCAAAGATAAGAGGATTCCAATAGCTGTTACTCAGAAGGAGCAGACTCGTAAAGAATCGGACGTTGGGCGATGAAATCGTGCTTGACGGATCCATCTGGGCCGCGGAGACGATCGCCCATGGGATCACCGCAATAATGTAGGCAGACGTCGCGATCACGATCGCAGTGAGCCCTCGCAGTTTAGGACGTTGCACGGGAGCGTCAACCGCAGCGGCTCCTCTCGCGACCGCTTCGTCGCCAACGCGGTAGGTCTGCTGTACCGCAACGGTAACCACCCGCGTATTCGTGTACATCGCTACAGCTAAACTTCCAAAGAATGTGGTTAACGTAACCACGATGCTAGGCCTGAACCGTAAACTGGAATTGGATGAAAAATTAGAGATGCAGAGCGTCGTCCTAGAGCTTGGAAAAACACTAAATGCCCCGACTAAGATCCCGAAAATGGAGATGGCTAAGATAGTTATCCGAGCGCGGCGGGCGGTCACCATAACGTGGTAATGCAGCGGTCGTGTGATGGCAAGAAAGCGGTCAAGGCAGGCGAAAGCGACAAAGAGAGACGAGATATTAACGAAAGAACTGCAGAAGCAACGTCTTATGGCGCATACTTCGTTGAGCTGTAGATGACGCAGTATAGACACTACACTCGTCAAAGATGTACAGAAGAGTCCCGTCAGCATGTCTGTTATTGCAAGGGACTGCAAGAAAGAAAACGAATAGTTTTAAACACATTACTGATATGTACTCTAGGGTCCCGTCCAAATCAATCGCAAGTCCTCCACACAATCGCAAGTTTGCGGTCCCTTATCTCTTATGTACATAGTTACAATTGATACCAATCGCAAATAAGTTGCGATCAATATCAACTCTTTATAAGACGGGGGCATTGTCAAAATTTTAAACATCATTATTCTGATTACTCAGCCTGTTGACTTTTACTGTACATAATTGTTTGTGTAACTTTATTCATGCATTTCATCTTAATCAAGGGCATCAAGGGTGGTAAAGTATTCATCAATTAATGTTTAAATTGTTTTTTGTTTAATTTGATTTTCCGTATAAAAACAATAGGAACATAAAATGTAATGACATTTATTAAAAAAGAACACGTGAAAAAAAGGGTAGCCGGCATGGTTTCCGGTAACATCTAAGTACTTAAATATACCTCAATAGTCATTGATTTGTTACTTTGGGAAATCCGTTACTTATTGAGATTTGCATTAAATTAAAAATATATAAATTACATTGATTGAGTTATTTGAACGTTCCCTTAAATGATGAATATTCTGCTTTAGAACTTCTAGATAACAATTGAGAGCCCATATAGAGACATAACATTGTATAATGTGTTATGCAAAAACAAAATGTTATCAATTATTACTCTTGTACCTTTCTTGTTTTGGGATCTACACCCCAACTCCGCCCATGCATTAAATGCAAATCTAAATTAGTGAATTGATTTCCCAAAGATTTCCAAGAGTATTTTATTTTAATTAATGAGGTTTATTTTAACTCTCCCTAATTAATTAAGGCATAGGCTATATGAAAATCAACCAACATGGACAATTCATTGAAAACGATCGGAAAGACTTGAATCAGTTGAAGACGATTCAAATAGCCTTAAATATAAGAACATTACGAGCATTACAATGATTTATTACTTAATATGAACATGATTTTTATGGCCTGTATAAAAGGGTGTAGAAAGAGCCTTGAAGTGATTTTTCGAAAGTTGTTTGTGATCGTTTTCTCAATGGGTGAGTTATTGGAGGATTCTTACCTTGAGGATCATCTGGGTAACCTCATCGAAGCAATTCGGCACTCGATGGAGCACGATAAGATTAAGGGCGTTACTTAATACAGTGAGTAGAGCCGTTATACTATAGATTACTGTCTGTCCTATTACACTCACTAAAGGTCCCGACCCTCCTCCTGAGGGATCATCGTCCGTTTCGTTTACGAGACCGAACGTTACTGTTCCAATCGATGCCGTGGTCGTCCATGGGAGCGTCGAGGTATCCATGGTGACTTGTTCAAATTACTGCGTCGGTGCTCTGACTTATGGAGATATTTCTTTTGATAAATTCCGTTTATTTAGGGTACTTCATTAACAAGATTTACAAATTTTCACTTTCAGATATATAATTCACCTTTAAAGATAAAATGAATTTTAAGCATAGAAGAGCCATTAGAAGGTAAAAATGAATGTTACAAGTAAAAGAACAAACTCTTGAACAGCGCCACGATTAATTTGATTTCACTGTTCAACTCCGATGTTTTTCTGGCGGTATGTTTCTTCAATCGTTGCTAGAAACTTTCTGTAATATGAACAATCTTCGAGGACTAAATAAATATTGAGCTAGTAGGTGTTTACCAATAAGCAACGCGAACGATGTTTATTTCTATCTGAATGATTCATTTCTTGTACCAAATAAACAAGTGCTTTCCTCCCTTAAGACAAATTAAATCTAACCAGAGAGGACGCCAGGCACAATCTTAAGAGCGAGAACGATACGCGGCAGCTAAACAAAGAGAGAGTGGCGACTTTCGAGAAAAGATCATCTCCAAGACGCAAAATTCACCGACTCCTAAGAGAAAAAGCATCATCTTAAAAGGCTTCAACTTCCTGTGGCAGTAGGCAAGAATGGAATGCGGCTTGCCCTTGGCGGAGCGAAAAGGCTGTGAAACTGGATTTTTAATTTCCTGTGGAGTCAATCGAAAGTACGTTAAAGTGTGACTTCCTTACTGACAATGAACTTGCCAGGAGAATTCGCGCGTCCATTCGCGCGCCATTTCAGATTCCAAAGAAGGTTGAATACGGCTTTGAATTCTCTTCTTCGGCTCTTTAGTGGAAATAAATCAAAACTTAGCAAGGTAACAGAAAATTTGATAGTTCTTTCAAATGCTGAAGTTTCCCAAATGTCTTTTTTGTTTACACTATAGTATTTTATCACAAACGCTATTTCTAATAAATCCTTCGTATGCAGAGGAGGGAAATCTCTCTCTCTCTCTCTCTCTCTTCTCTCTTGTGCGTTCTTTTTTTTCTTTTTGAACCCCTGTTTTGCGGGGGTTGCGCCCCTTTCAAGTGCCGCTAGAGGCGCGTACCCCATGCCCCCTAGATACGCCACTGCGGACTTGCGAACTTTACTGTCAGAAACAATGTCACTGATATAGAGATAGAATTTGTAGTTGTTTCCCCAGGTGGCCTTTACTTTCATACAATTTAGCAGCAACGGTTCTTTTTGTCACTCATTTCTACTGGTATTATTTCACGATGCAGCGGGCTTACGATGTCTCCTTATAAATAATTGTGAACCGAGCGCTCGAATGAAACCATTGATTGCTGTTGACCCAGAATACAAAAAGAATAAAAAAATCAGATCAACGGTTCATCATGTACCGCTTTTAGAGGAAAGAGATGCAGGGTTAAATGACACGAAGCAATAGAATTGTAAGATAGAATCTGCATTCATGGATTTTTCAATACACCGCAAAATTTCTGCTTTTGATATCAAAAGTGCCCATGACACATAAGACACGTCAAATAATCTTTAAAAAGCTACACAGGGAAAAATGATATTGATTTGCTTTTCAGTATTAACAGGTAACTTAGTGTCAGTATTAACATCTCAAATGATGATTTGTGTACAGCTGAAGTGAATTGATGTGTTTCTCCCCACCCCATCATTTGACATTCTAGTACGGCTACTGCTCACATAACCAGAGCAGAACGAATATAGAACTAATTATCTAGCGGCGTATCAGGGTTCTTGTTATTCAGGGGTTCAGTGGTGGGGTAGAGGTTAGGCGTATCAGGGTTCTTGCGATTCAGTGGTTCAGTGGTGGGGTAGAGGTTAGGCGTATCAGGGTTCTTGCGATTCAGTGGTTCAGTGGTGGGGTAGAGGTTAGGCGTATCAGGGTTCTTGTGATTCAGGGGTTCAGTGGTGGGGTAGAGGTTAGGCGTATCAGGGTTCTTGTGATTCAGGGGTTCAGTGGTGGGGTAGAGGTTAGGCGTATCAGGGTTCTTGTGATTCAGGGGTTCAGTGGTGGGGCAGAGGTTAGGCGTATCAGGGTTCTTGTGATTCAGGGGTTCAGTGGTGGGGTAGAGGTTGGCCATATGTCTTTCAAGGTGGTAAAGGAGAGCAGCATCTTTTAGTTGGAGTAGGGGTATCATCTTCCTCTATTATGTTTTCATTCCCCTCTTCTTCTTTTTCTCTCTCGTTGTTAATATTTTCCTTAGCTCCTAATATTCGGTTGGGGACATATACTACTTGCCCAAGAAGTTAGAATCATTTCTTGTACACCTCTATATAGAGTATTCTTGACAATATAGAGTTTATATCTTCTTATTAATAAATAGTCATAGAGATTACTAAATAAAGTTTATATCTTCTTATTAATAAATAGTCATAGAGATTACTAAATAAAGTTTATAACTTCTCATTAATGAATAGTCATAGAGATTAGTAAATAAAGTTCTGACAAGATATAAACTTTATCTATCATGTATAACATATATTGTGATACATTATATTCATGAAAAGATGTAATACAAATTACTCCAACTTGCCGGAAATACTCCGGGTGATCTTATTACTTCTCCTCACTCATTCGAATAAGATTGATCATGCAAGTTAGTTAAACGCGTACATTAGACAATGATCAAACGTAATGAGTTAATTTGTAATGGTTTACTATCTTCCCTTTTCCAACACAAAACGTTTCAATGCCTATTTCAATAATTGATTTAATTTTGAAAATTTGTATACATTGATAGGTTTATTGTGACCACTCTCTGTAACATCGATATGTAGGATATAATATCCTAATTTTATTTTGAGAAATGACACCCAAGAACTATATATCACTGATTTATTATGCTACTTAAATTTGCATAAATGCATCCTCTTTTACGTTCAAATGTACTTCCACTTCTCCAACATCTACTACAGATAGTAGAATATCGATGTTGATCTGCGCCATTTTAACTTGTACTAATAGTTACCAACAAAAGACCAAATAAATTACTACTACTACTACTTCTACTACTACTACTACTACTACTACTACTACTACTAGTACTACTACTACAACTACTACTACTACTTCTACTACAACTACTACAACTACTACAACTACTACTACTACTACTACAACTACTACTACTACTACTACTACAACTACTACTACTACTACTACTACTACTACTACTACTACTACTACAACTACCACTCCTACTACTACTACTACAACTACCACCACCTACACCACCACCACCACCACTACTTCTACTACTACTACTTCTACTACTACTACGACTACTACTACTACTACTACTACTACTAGTACTACTCCAACCACCACCACCACCACCACCACTACTACCACTACTACAACTACTACTTCTAATCGGGAGCGCCAGGAGGGTCAAATCTGACTGACATGAGCGCTATACAAGAACCCACTATTATTATTATTACTTCTAATACTATACTACTATTATACTACTTATAATACTATATTTCAATTATATTGTTCCCCTTCTTCTACATTGTAACTATATACGCTTTCTAATGTGGAACACAATTGTTTTCTTCTTAACTTAAATGTAATATTTCTCACAATTTCCTTTGCACTGAACTCTATAGATAAATCGGAGATAACTAAATTTGTATTGAAACAGTATTTGAGTTTGATTTTGTTGCCTTTTATTTGTCGTTGTATATGTGTGATCTGAAATCGCCTTACACGCAGTTATCAAATGAGTAATAAGGGATTATGCTGCTCTGACGTTAACACTGACTGTCATTATCTATCATTATCAATAACGTAATGTCTCTACTGCCCCTAAATCAACTGGTTGGACAGTTAATTAGAGCCTTCCAACTCAATTCCGATGAAAGTTGAAAACCCCATGATAACACGCTAAACGTAATTACATGTAGGTGGATACAATTCCGGAAAAAAACGGAATTATGGGGTTATGTCTGTGTGCGTCTGTGCGTGTGTGCCTGTGCAAGGGCGAGTGAGCGTATGTGTGTCGCGTAAGATTTAAGGATACATGGCGTCACTTAAAGGGTCGTATGCATAAAAAGTAAAAACGTATGCAGATGTTTTAAAACACGCAAAAGCTCCGCTTTGTGCAATTGCGTGTGTTTACTAGCAAGCGCTTTTGCTTGCAAGCAATTGCTTATTAATGTGTATGCATACAGATTCAAGCTAAAGGCCAGCACAAGTAATTGTTACTTTGTATGCATATACGGCCCTTTATACATGATGGTATTTCCTCTTGAAGATCTCCTCGTATCGTTACTGATATTGATTTACAGAGAATAAATGATAATCCCTTGTCTAATTTACTCAAACATACCACTCTATCTCTCTGGTATTACTGTTTCTACTGAGATCAACACTCTATAAAATTTCAACTACCTTATTGAAAAGGAAATCAGCATTTAAAACAGAGTATGGAGACTCAATATTTACGCTACACGAGATGCTTGATATTCATTTTGTTTAATGCAAGACAGAAGGATTTTATCAGGTACGGATTGTGACACCATTGCAGCCGCGGTTCTAGAAGATTTTATTTTTTTTTTTTTTTTTTTTTTTTTTTTTTGGGGGGGGGTGATTGAGAGGCTTAGGGGGGGCTTGGGGTTCTTTTATACGTGCCTCGCTTAAATTCGTTTTATAGTCATGGAGAAAATGAGGTGGGGATCCACCTACCCCCCCCCCCCCCCCCCCCCCTCTCGAGAACCGCAACTGTCGCTAGACTATGCATTTCTAATTAATCTACTTGTTTGTAGGTAGGATTACTGCTTCACGGCGAGGAATACCACTGCCCTGCTAAGAATATTCAAATTTGTAATTAACATTAAAGGGATGGTCCATCTTTTAAAACTCTGAATATCTATCCGGGATGAAACAAGGATTATGTAAGGGGAGGGCACAGTCATACACTTTAAAAATTACAGACAAGCAACAACGACAACAAAATATATATATTTACGAATATACGTATAG